ATGAAACAATTCTTTTGTTGTATACTATTGCTGGGACTGGGGGCAATGTGCCATTTTATACAACACACAATCGCTCACAAACCTCTTACATGAAACGTCTTAAGTATTTCCTGAGAATAGGCACAGTAAATGCTGACTTATGATGTGCTTTTGTAACTATACTTCTGAGTTCAGTTCTAGCTTTTTAATTTGAAATACACGACATCTGGTTGTCTTGCAGGTCAGGAAGACCCAGTTGGCTCATTCCCTATGTGTCTCCACTCAGGTTCGCCCCCTTATCAAATTTTGTAGATAGCATGTACATATAGAAGAAATAGAGTTTGAGGAAAAAAAGAAGCAACAGAATTGCTTTCTTATTTCTGATCGATGAAAATGCAGCTTCCAATCCACATGCATGGGGGGAATGGGAAGGTTGCCTACATTGACACTGAGGGAACATTGTATCTTTGGAATTTCATGAGTAATTGTCAAGCTGTTTCTCTCAAAATTTATATTTATCCCTATCATCTCCAAATTGTTTCCTTAATGAGTTTTCAGCCAACCTGAATGCATTGTGCCAATTGCTGAGAGATTTGGGATGGATGCCAATGCTGTTCTCGACAATGTATGAATTCCATGCATGTAGCATTTCCCATTTCTATTATCCCATTTCACGATTAACAGGCCAAATTGGCTGTCTCATTTTTTGTAGATCATATATGCTCGTGGATACACCTATGAGCACCAGGACAATTTTCTCTGGGCCTTGCTGCCAAGATGGCTGAAGAACCTTTCAGGATTCTGGTAGGCATGAAACTGTAATGCGATTGAGTTTTGATAATGTCAGTTGCGTGCTCATATGGTATTTGTATCATCCTGGAAACAGATTGTGGATTCTGTGATTGCACTTTTCGTGTTGATTTCAGTGGCAGGGGTGAACATGCAGAGCGTCAGGTATTCTCGTCAATTCATTTTGATGGCAGTAGGCATCTCGTAAAAATGTTGAAGGGTGATGTTTTATCTGCTTGCTTATGTGTACCTGCTGTTAAATTGCAGGAAAAGCAGTTCAATGTTGCAGTGTACATCACCAGCCAAGGTGGGCTTGCTATTTAGCACTGTATCAATTCCAAGAGTTTAAGACCAGTGATCTTCAAATTCTAAGCTGAGTCCCTTTTGTGTTTGCAGTGAATTGCTGATCTTCAAATACCAAGTGAAGTTGGTGTTTTGTGCCGCTTCTGATTCCTCAAAATAACTGATGCATACTGAGAAGGTTCTGAACTATGGATTCCAATTCCCAGATCTTTGTTCTGTTTGTCTGAATTCTTGTTGCATAGTGGTTAAATTGGTATCTTGTTTGTGGCGCTTGCATGCTAGCTTTCATTCTGTTGTTGTAAATTATGGGTCGTCATGCAGAACCTTACAGGAATCCAAGGTTTATTTGAAGCAAAAGTTGATGAGATCTGCGAGGCAGCTAAAGAACTTCTAGTCTGACCCTTTAAGCTGCCTTTGCTTACTAAACTTCCATGCAATCAGTTCTGTATGATATGGTATCTTGAAATTCTCTTCTTGTTTGTTTCTCACAGAACCAGGGTTTCATGACAGGAAATGATCTCCTTAAGGTAAGAAGATTGCATTAAGCTACTAATCGTTGTATGGTTTACCAGTTTGGTGTGTCCGATGAGTGATAACCAATGCTTGACCACTTGTAGTATGTAAACTAACTGACAAAGGTTGATTAGTTATTGAATCTTGTTGAGCTGATTAGTTATTGAATCTAGTTGAGCACTTTTAATTACTTCTCATACGCATTGTCCCTTAAGGCTCTTTTGATTTATTTTTGCTTATTTGAAGTCGAAATCTTTTGTTCGGATTATTAACTGGGAGCCAAGCACTTGGTAGATGAGCTGCTTGGCGGTAATATATCTGAAATATGTCGTGTGATCAGTCATGTCATCATCATAGTATTTATTGCTTTACCTGTTTGCAATATGTATTTATTGAAGTTTTTATTTTTGCCAGATCCACGTGATGATCTGGGTGGAATGGATGTGGCTAGAAAGGTTAGATACCTCACAATTTTCACATTCAATAAACTGTTTTCTGTTTTATATTTCTTTTCCTTGCCTAAGTGAACTCTTGTGTATTGCATGAACTGCTACAGTGTTGAGTTTATTTGTGTCCTTCTAGAATTTGATGAAAATCACGTAACATAACCATTATCACAAACCGTGTCACCTGTTGAGGTAGGTTGTGTTGTTCAGTGGCCGTTGATCCTGGCTAGGCTTATGGGGCAACAGATAAGCATGGAGAATATCAATGTATTCCTGTCTGCATTATTTCTTGAGAAACTGATTATTATTTTATATTTGTTAACTTGTTATACAGACATGGTGGTCTGTACACTGGGTGATATTTTCACTGTTATTGCTTATAGATATAGGTGTGCTACTTAGCTGTTAGTTCACTGCTAACAATATCAAGTAGTTTTTGGGCAAAGTAATCCTGTTCACATATTGTATCCGTGGAAGGTCTGCCTCCAATTCGTTTAAATGATGATGATTGCATTGAGCCATCTCTTAGGCTTGTGGCATGCTTTTCCAAGGCGTAGATTAACTTGTCTGAATTTGTTACATCAATTGTACGCTGATATGCTAAATCTGTAAGAGTAGACGAAATAGTCCCCAACACTTGTAAAGTTGTCGAATAGCTGATTGATTGCACCACTTGTTTCTTGTGGTAGCTGCCAATTTGATTCTTTATATGTCATGAAAGCTTTTCTTTTGACTTTATATGATGAGGGAGCTATTAATATTTTTAATGCCAAAATCAATGGTTACTTTTAATTCCTTTCTCTATACAAAGCCACACCGTTAATATTATCTCCACTATAATTGAAAACTTGTTTCTATCAAAATCAAATGGTTCATAATAGATCTACGCCAAATCCAAAGGCCCGTAAACGATGTTTGATGGAGGCTTCGCACCCCTCACCGCACTCCCCAGCTCCCTTCCCCTTTACCGCTGCTCGCCTCCATCGCACGTCCCGCCTTCAGTAGCCTGCGATACCGCAGACCTTGCCCTCTCTCGCTTCTGCCGTCACGAGCAACACCGCCGGACGCCGCCTCCATGAACGCCTCTGCCGACCCGACACGCCCGATGATGCAGGTGTGCCAATGCCTTCCTGCTGTGTAAAACCGAACACCATACCCAAACTAATCACCAGGTGTGCCAATCGCTTCCTGATGTGCGAAACCAAGCAATCAATCCTTAAGATAATTGGCTATTTGTATTCCAGTCTGATCTAATTAGATGCGTGTACATGTATTATGCCTGCGATCCGCCCGATCCGTGGCTGACAGATCACCGAGAAGGGAAAGGGACCGCCGAGGTTTGCGCACACGCCATCGCCCTCGCCCCTACGCCGCCCACGCCGTCATCCTCGCCCTACATGCGTTCTCCCATGCCGCGCAAGATCCTCTCCCTCCGTGCCGCCGCCAAGCCGCCGCCACCACCACCCGATTGAGAAGGAGAAGGTCCACTGACAGAGTCCTCGACGAAAGGACGTGGCCCTGTAGAGGAAGCAGCAAAAATATCCAGGTTTGCCCTCACTCCCTTTTTATTCAGGATGTTTTGAAATTCTACAAATGACCAATAGTCAACTTGTTCGTTATTGTCTCCGTGGGACATGCTAAATTGGTGGAATTCCAGAAACTTGTCTCTACCAAAATCAAGGGTTCATAATAGATCTACATCAAATCCAAAGGCCTGAAACGATGTTTGATGGAGGCTTCTCACACCCCTCACCTCCGCACTCTCCCCGCCTCAAGATCCTCGTAGCTCTCGGCAATTAGGATCCAATCACCGATCATTCAACCATAAAAAAGAAAGTCCGGGAAAAAAGGCATGACTACCTCTGCACCGCAGCATCCTCCTGTTGACGCTAGACTCGGACGACTTCGCCACCATCGCCGACCTGTTGATGGTCGCCGCCTCCTGTCGACTGACTTCGCCATTACCGCCGCCGACGGATCGCTGACCGCGACCATCGCTTCGAGCCTCGGACGCCGTGGTTAGGGCTATGTACGCTGCTGACGCGGCACCGCATCCTGCAAACGGCGGCGATCGGACGGCACAGCTCGCTGCACCCGCAAACGACGGCGGACGACGACGGCGTCGCGCGCGTACAGTGACACAGTAACTGGGGCCGCTGAACGCCGCTGGCGAGACTTGCCGAGCCCGCTATTCGATCAAAGCGCCGCAAGAGGCCGCAGTCCGCTCATGAGGGCACTTCTCCAATGACAAGGTCACGGTGCCTGACGACGAACGCCGCCACAGCCCGGCGACCGTCGAAGACACCTACATATCGGCGAGAGGACAAAGAGCACCGAGGAGCAGCTCGTCACGCCGTGGACCGCCTCTCCGCCGCCAGTGAGCGTGCGCGTGTAAAAGCGTCTCGGTGCTAGCTAGGTGAACATGCGTAAAAAGGCATGGATCGGTGCATGGCAATCGTTGCTAAAGTTTACTGGCTTCCTTGCGATACTATCAGAAATCTTGCTGTCGCCTATCACATTTGTTGATGGATTGGTCACAAATAATTTGAGAACAATTGATTTCTGGTTTTCTGAGATTTTGTGCTGACATTGACTATCCATTTGTAATAGGTACTATAAATAAAAATCAAAGGTCCTGCGTCATCACAGACTGCTTGTGATACATTAACTAAATGTCTACGTCGAGAGATACACACGATCCACTAAGCGACATCACCAACATCACAGGTATGATTTTACATTGTATTAATTTGGTACCATAAATCTTAATGCTCTTTTCTAGACATTCGATCAGAGTTTAAAAAGTTTGACTTACAATAACTCTACAAATTGATTTTTACAGAGACAGATGGAGTAATATATAACTTTGGGTTGGCTAATTGATTTCGTGGTTGTGACTATATAGATGAGGCCCAAGCGGACTAGGGAACAAAGGAACTTGCAGCAAAGAACGAATTCAAGCGAGCTGAAATGACCGACCTAACAAAGGGAGGAGATGAGGAGGAAACAACGTGAGTACCAACGGCACTACTACTGAGAACGGAAGAAGGCCGAGTCCCAAAACAATAGCGCTTCTTGTGTTTTGACTGCACCCGGTATAATTTTTCTTTGCTTAGTTTATTATTACTCAGGCTCTTAATATACTCAAACCAACGTTATGAGATGGACCAAAAAAATGCAGGTACTAATCGTTCTCAGATAGACCAAAACTCGCCAATTATACTGGACAAGGAAAATATCCAACCAACCGCACATGGGAATCATAGCCATGGTGGCATTGGCACCTCAACGGCAATAGGCACTGCTCTATCAGTGGCTAGCGGTAAAGATTGGATACGTGTTTATTATGTGAAAGAGTCTCATTATTTAATTTTTGTAATCTCACAAACGTGACCCTGCAGATATTAGTAACCATACGATGGGCGAAAGGAACGCGCAACAACGAAAGAGAAGAGCAGAGATGACCGATGAGCAGAGAGAAGAGAATAAAAGGAGACAACGTGAGTACCAACGTCAATATCGAGCACGGCAGAAGGCTCAATTGCAAAATAACAGCACACCAGCTGCTATCAACCAAATAGTGCCATCGTCCTCGCTGGCAGGTTAGTAATATCCGAGACCATAAGGATTTCATCCACCACTTGATATATCATGAACCTTTGTTTATATTCATATCTCAAGGTGCGAATTTGAGCGCTGGATTAGCGACAATAATGGAAACCAGCGAGTTAGCAGAGCCTATGGATTGGTTACACAGAAATGATAATTATGTTCCAGCGCGTAGAGCCCCACCTACTTCCGGCGAGGCAGGTCTGGTCATCAGCCACAACATTTTTTGCTATTATATATTTTATTTCCTACTTTGCTTATATTACTTAATATTAAAATAAAAATATTAAATATCTACTATGCAGAAAGACAAATACCTGAGCTACGCAACAACCATGTACATGTCCAATCCAATGAAGAAGAATTCGACCGTGAACTATTTGAACCAGCGCATGATGGTTGGGACAGTGATGAAGATGCCATGGACGGTGGCCATGGATTGCACAATGAAAACTTATACGATGATGATGGGGTCATTCACCGACATGCGCAAGGTACTACGACAACATCTATCCCTACTGGTTATAAATGCAGCTTCATTTTACCAAATATTTATATATTAAGTGAAAGTAATTACTACAATGTCCACACAGGTCATGATTATGAGTCATATCGCGTGCCTCCAGAGGGTCCAGCTGCAAACAGTGTGACACATGACGATCCATATGACTACATCTACCAGAACCTGCCAGAACGACATAAATTGAGAAAGGTCCCTGACTGCAGTTAGTGTGGTGCGATGAGGTTTTAGGGTGAGAGACCCGGGTTTTGTTGTAGAAAAGGAAAGGTATAGATACATATACCAGATGTTCCTGCAGAGCTCAAAAGGTTGTTCACAAGTCAAGTGCACGATGATGCAAAATATTTCAGGAAACATATACGTTATATCAACTCACATTTCGCCTTTGCAAGTCTAGGGGTTACCACTAACGACAAATATAAAAGTCCAGCATAGACCGGTGTTTATACATTTCTAGTGCATGGTATGTTGTACCACCGTCTTGACCACCTGGTGCCAGGTGGCCGCGGTGCTCGGCATTTGCAGCTCTACTTTTATGATACAGAAGATGAGGCCTTATCACATAGAGTCAAAAGGTCCCCTGATCTTGATATCAACATCATTCGGACTATCCTAGCAATCTTGCAAGATAACCCATATGTTCATACTTTTAGGAGAAATGGGGATTTTCCAAACTTGGATGAGTACAAGATTGAACTCAATACAAATGTCACGCCTGACCAAAGAAGGTACAATGCCCCAACGGCATCCCAAGTTGCTGCTATTTTGATGGATGGGAACGATCCACAAAGATGTTTTGATAGAAGTGTGGTTGTATATGGAAAGACCGATCGTCAGTCTGCAGTATATCCGAGCATGGCATGGTTGTTATGACGCTTTAGCTTATCCTCTGTATATAACCCACAAGGGGAAACAGGATGGAACAAATTTATGATGTACAGTGAGGATCCATTCACTCCACCCTCTCGCAACCGCTGGGCTTCTACTAATAGTGCTAATGGTAGAGCTGAAGGGACTACTGGTGGTAATCATGGTATTATTTGCTATAATATTTTTTTTGCTATTATACTGGTACTACTGATTCGATACTATAATACTAATTATAACATTATCTAATGTTTTGTGTATCTTGCAGCTGATAATAACAACGAAAAATCATGTGGAAGAAGGCGACAATGATGTGCAAGAAGGTGACGTGCTAGCTGGAGTTGCAGATGCAGCACAATCCACAAAATATGTAATCGCACGAGAATACTACTGCTTCAAGTTGCAAGTTAGACGGGACTTTTAACATTTTATTATTCGGAGGACGCCTTTTTCAGCAGTGGGCTGTGGATATGTATATAAAGATTGAGTCTATGAGGCTAGATTGGTACTCTAATCCTGAGCACCAAAAACTAATACTAGCGTAAGCTATACCAGTAACCACTCATATTATATTGTTTATTTATATAATTGTTTTTCATGAACTTTGCAACCTTGTTACTGCCTTTCGCTAAAAGTAAGTGCTTAAATGTATTTTAGGGACTTGTTGATGTTATCTCTACTGGAGAGACACAAGGTTCTAAGGTTGGCAAGAGAATTGTGCTGCCAAGATCATTCCCAGTGATGCGATCGAGACATGCAAAGAAAGATTCCTTAATGCTATGGCTATTGTGCAAATGCTTTTGGAATGCCCGATTACTTCATCACCATGACATGCAATCCCTAATGGGGAGAGATAACAAGCAATCTCGAACCGGGCAGGACCCACAAGATAGGCCGAATCTGGTTGCAAGAGTGTACAGGCAAAGTTGCATGATCTGAAGGATCTTCTAATCAAGAGGAAGTATTTTGGTGAAGTTGCAGCATACGCTCATGTTACCGAAGTTCCGTAAAAGGGGTCCGCCACATGAGCATTTATTGCTGATCATGAAATCGTGGAGTAAGTTGACAACCCCGATGCATATGATCGAAAGTTATTTCGGCGGAGAGATACGAGACAAGGACAAATACCCAGAGTTGCATGATCTCGTTATCGTACCATATGCTTCATGGCCCATGTGGCGTCCTAAACAAACACTGCATGCATGGTAAATGGAGAGTGTCGCTTTCAATACCCTAGACAGATTCCGTGAGGCGACCCAACAAGGAAAGGACTCCTATCCAACCTATCGGAGAAGGGATGATTGGACTGACGAGTCAGATCAGAGAGCAGAGTTAGATAACAGTGTGGTGGTGCCATACAACCCTGGTCTACTCTTTAGATACAACTGTCACATAAATGTTGAGGCATGCGCAAGCATTAAAGCAGTGAAGTATCTATTTAAGTACATATATAAAGGCCACGACCAAGCATCATTCTCGGTAAATGCAGACCAAAATGATAGGGATGATGGTGTCATCAATGAGATACAACAGTATAGGAATGCTAGGTACATTTCTCCACCGGAAGCTGTGTACAGGATCTTCGGATTCCCAATGTTTGGAATTTATTCGTCAGTATTGCAGCTCCAGCTACATTTGCCTAATATGCAGTATGTGACATACAATGATGACGAAAACCTGGATGATGTTGTGAGTCGCCCGACTTCTAATAGGACAACACTGACGGAGTATTTTAGTAAAAACCGTGAAGAAAGGGCAGCAATGAAAATATTATATAGAGAATTTCCGGAACACTACCGATGGATCGCAGGGAAAAAAGTGTGGCAAGGAAGAAAACAAGCGTCAGCACAGATAGGGCGGATTGTCTATGCTAACCCTGCTGAAGGGGAGAGATACTTCCTAAGAGTACTACTAAATCATGTGAGAGGTGCAACATAATTTGAGGATCTAAGAACAGTGGCTGGTGTAACATACTCTACTTTTAGGGAGGCATGTGAGAAAAGAGGGCTTATTGAGACAGATAGATCAATTGACGACTGCTTGACTGAGGCCACCACTTTCCAGATGCCGTGTGCCTTGTGGAGGTTCTTTGCTACAATGCTTGTGTTCGGCGAGGCCACTAACATACGTGAACTATGGGACAAGCATAAGGATGTGTTAGGTGAAGACTTTAGCCGGACAATAGCAACACGCCGACGAAGGAGCAAATGGTGCTCGTGGACATACGGGATATGCTTCACTCGATGGGCAAAGATATCAGAGAATATGGTTTGCCACCTATTTGCGATATGGGTCCAACGTCCATTGACATGATGAAAGAGGTTAGAGAGGAGCAGAATGTCCCTGTTGACCAAGAACACCTAGATATTTTTTATTCTCTTAACAAGGAGCAGAGAGAAGGGTTTGATGAAATCATTCAGCATGTCTTTGCCAAAAAGAGCCAAGTTTTTTTGTTGATGGTCCGGGAGGCACAGAAAGACATTCCTATACAAGGCGCCTCCTGCTAAAGTTCGCTCCAAAGGATTAATAGCCATCGCAATGTACACCTCTCGGTATAGCAAATCAATATTGCCCGGAGGACGCACTGCACACTCCAGGTTTAAAATTCCAATTAAAATTGGGGAACACCATGTGCAGCTTTACAAAGCAAAGTGGCACCAGAGAGTTGCTTCAGAGGGCGCTTTTGATTATTTGGGATGAAGTTGCCATGACCAAACGTCGCTATGCGTTGAGACACTAGATAGGTCCCTACAGTGATATCATGTAATGTGCTTTGCCATTTGGAGGAAAGGTCATGGTATTTGGTGGAGACTTCAGATGTGTCCTTCCCTGTGGTGCCACGTGGGACAAGAGCACGAGATAATCGATGCTACCTTGCGAAGATCCTATTTGTGGGATAAAATAAGAAAGATACGATTGTCACAAAACATGAGAGCACAGTCAGACCCTTGGTTTTCTGAGTACCTGCTACGTATTGGAAACGGAACCGAGGAAACGATTGGAGATGATTATGTTCGACTTCCTGATGACATTGTGATTGGATATACTGACACGGATGTGGCAGTCAATACACTCATTTCCTCGGTGTTCCCATCACTTGGAGAGCATGCGACATCAGCCGCCTATATGAGCGGACGGGCCATTCTATCGACAAAAAATGAGCATGTTGATAGGCTGAACGCAATGATGATTGAAAGGTTTCCAGGTGAGGAAAAAGTTTACCACAGCTTTGACACTGTTGTTGATGATCCTTCGAATCACTTCCCTATTGATTTTTTGAACTCAATAACTCCAAATGGCCTCCCCCGCATGAGCTGAAGCTAAAAATCATCTGTCATGTGATTCTTCTCCGCAATCTTGATCCTAACAATGGGTTGTGCAATGGAACCAGGCTTATGGTCAGAGCATTGCAAGACAATGCAATTGATGCTGAGATCGTTGGTGGTCAGCATGTGCGGAAAAGAGTTTTCATACCAAGGCTACCATTGTCTCCCTCACATGATATTTCTCTTCCTTTCAAGTTCAAGAGAAAACAATTCCCAGTGAGGTTAAGTTTTGCCATGACAATAAATAAATCGCAGGGATAGACCATCCCAAACGTTGGGATCTACCTTCCAGAGCCCGTGTTCTCGCATGGACAACTTTATGTTGGTTTATCAAGGGGGGTGTCAAGATCAACAACAAGAATTCTAGCAAAACCAAAAGAGGAATTAGATCCTACAGGGAAGAGCACCAAGAATATAGTTTACAAAGATGTCCTAAATTGGTGAATGATTTGTGTATACTCGCACCATTTTATAAGTCCTCGTAAGAATAAATATCGCTGGTGTCTGCTTGATACTTTTATTTTTTAGCATCAGAGTCCTACTTGTCTCTTATACGATATTGATTTCCAAACTTTCAGGTTCATTTGACTCTGAAGAAACGGAAGAGGAAGAGGCCAGTTCCTGTACCAGGTCTGACAACAGGCAGGAAACTTGCAATCTTAACTTTCTCATAGATGGCTATAGTATGCGCTGCTAAGCTTATTTGGGTGGGGTCGATTAATGCAGTATATAGCTCAGAGGTTCATATGATAATTTATTATCAGCATAACTTGTTTCAGATGGTAGACTGCAAGTTTTTTTGCCCTCGAATAAGACAGATTCAACCATCCAATAATCGACCTCTTCCTCTTCCATCAAATGAATTATTTGAATATATATAAACAATATTGTGCCCTGTTTGGTTCCAGTTTCAGTTAACACAATATGTTCAGTTTCAGTTAACATGACATTGTGCCCTGTTTGGTTCCAGATTCAGTTATTAGTTTTGTGAGTACCAACTTGCTGCAGAATTTTATAGCGAAAGCCGCAAGTTCTTCTGTATGGTGCATGGTGACAGTATATATATTTCATCTATCTCTTATATGATGTTTGGGTTCAAAATTTTCAGCTTCTTCCTGCTGCTCTGGGACCGTCTCAGAGGAAACGCAAAGAATGTCTCGTTCTCAGTAGCATGTCTGACAACAGACGGAAAGGCAGGAGTGGAGGCTGATGACCCACGAGGAGGGAATTTTTGCAGTCAGGCACATCTATACATGGTGCCAGGGACATTCATACTTCTTACATTTTTAATCCTAGCCTTCTTACAATTATATTCAGAGATGCATAGTACACAGTTTCATTTATATTCAGAGATTCATAAATCCTAGCCTTCTTAGTAGAGATTCAGAGTTTCAGTTATATTCAGAGATGCATAGTGCACAGTTTCAATATGTGGCAGTGCACAGTTTTAGTTTTAATAATCGTCATACGCACGAGAGACTAAGAGACGGTAGCCATTAGTCCAGCCATTTGTTATTAAGCACTGATAATATACCGGTTGATAATTGAGTTAAGCACTTTCACGGCACGGCAAACACCTAGGTAACATTTTCTGTACCAACAAATTAGTGTTTGAACTCTGAACTACTTGGCTAGAGAGAGAGAAAAAGAGTCCTAAGAGAGTGCAGCAATTCATCCTCGAGAGTACAGCAATTCATGTATTTTTTTTCTCTTATGTGTTGGTATAATGTCAATTCTTACCTGCAAACTGAAACCTTCAGAACCAATCTCTACTGTTCCATTATTTTCCCTCGTCTCTCTTTCCTTTGCCTTTCAACTCCAAGATATATCTCTCTGCAAAAAATATCTTGGACATATTTGCCTTTCAATGCATCCCTCATAAATGCTTCTTGTTTGTTTTATTTAAATAAATATAAATACACAAGGGAACGTTGTCACGTTTTCTACGGATGGCCTGTGCGTTCGAAACAGGTGGTGTCATGATGA